AACAATCCCTGTCAGGTGAATTGCGTTGAGAGAGAGGGACTGGCCCTAAGTTATTCCCCTATCTTTCATGCCTAAATTGGGACTAGAAGTCACAGTCTCCTGCTTTCTAACCTGGAAAGGGACAACTTGCCCCGGCAAATCATCATTGCCAGTTCACCACAGGACAACTCGCTGTGGCCAGCTTGCCGTGGGACAACTTGCCGTGGGATAATTCAATGATTATATTTAATTATTTTTTTAAAAAATAATTATTATTTTAATTTTTGTCATGCACATTTCATTTTTGTCCTCATTTTGTCATCCTTTCTTTAATGACATGTTTCCGCCATTTCTTTGATATTATGTCACTTTTGTCCTACAGCAAGTTGTCCTGCGGAGAGTTGGCCATAGCAAATTGTCTTGTGGCGAGTTGGATGTGGTGAGTTGGCTGTTAAACAAAACAGCCAATGACGCTGACTCGAGATTATGGGCTCTGTGGCCCAGTCCCACAAACAACACTAGGTTAAAAAAAAATAGCATTGATTAGTGTTCCTTCTGCCACTGATGCACATGTGCCATTCAGGCACCCAACCATCTGCACATTAGGCTGCCTTGAAAATGGGTCCTATTCGTGTACAGAGGTATACTTATAAGGAATTTCTTTGTAGAGGCAATTCTGGGTCTATCAGAATATACCTTTTTAATATTCCAGGAATGCACAGTCTGAATTTATTTGTATACTTAGCTGGTGACAGAGGGGAGAGCCAATGGAGGGGCCAATCAATGATTTCTGCATTCTTGGGGTAGATGAACTACGTTTGATGCTTAAAAGCAGTCAAAAGAAGCAAGAAGCAATGCAATGCAAGTACACAATTACATATTCATTACTTCTTCTTATATTATATAGAGACACTGAGTAAAGTATTACATTGGGAATAATTGTCCTCCACAATTAATCCTTGATGCTTTAGATTCTATTGGAAGTCCCTCCCTAGGTGTATCCATACATGTGCACATACCAGAGGCCAAGTTTATGAACACAATGCACTTCTCAGATTTTTTTTTTAGTATACAGGTAGTCCTCAACTTTCAACAGTTCATTTAGTGACCATTCAAAGTTCAACGGCACTGAAAAAGTGACTTATGACCGTTTTTCACCCTTACAGCATCCCCATGGTCATCTGATCAAGATTCAGACACTTGGCAATTGATTCATATTTATGACGGTTGCAGTGTCTCAGGGCCATGTGCTTACCTTTTGCGACCTTCTGACAAGCAAAATCAATGGAGAAGCCAGATTCGCTTAACAACCGTTACTAACTTAACAACTACAGTGATTCACTTAACAATTTTGGCAAGAAAGGTTGTAAAATGGGGCAAAATTCACTTAACAAATGTCTCTCTTAACAACATAAATTTTGGGCTCAATTGTGGTCATAAGTCAAGGACTACTTGCACAAACCTGCTCACTCTATCATTTCTTTTCCTTTTACAACGAGAAGCACTGTGCTCTTGATTATCCTCACATTGTAAGGTTTGATAGCTCTGCCAAAAAACAAAAATCTCCAGATGATAATCTAGAATACAACATAGAAGAGGAACTCAGTTCCAATCCACAAAAATGAAACTAGAGTTTATACTACATGTATTTTGAGCAAGGCATACAATAATCCAGTGTTAGGTACTGATGTAACCCAAGGCAGGGCAGCAAATCTGGAGTGCTCTTGCGTGATCAATAACTCCATATGACAGAGTGATGGAGAAATTGCGACAGCCTCAAATTCATTCACTGAACTTTGTGGTTAACCAGAGATTTCACACTCTCAGTCTGTATGATCCAACACTCTAGAGACAAACTTGGGCACTGTTCAACTTGGTGAGTATCATATGAACATTTTTAAAAGATGCATTTGAATCTGAATCATACAGTATGCCCTGCTGTTCATGCTGGGACAAGAATAAATGAGTGAGTGAGTGAGTGAGTGAATGAATGAATGAATGAATGAATGAATGAATGAATGAATGAATGAATCAAATGTATACTATGTAGTATCTCCTAATAAAAGCCTTTGCTGTCTCTCCTTTTAGGGAAGTGTAAATATATAGCTGCAAGAAAGGCTTTCCAGCTTAGGAAAGACTCAGGTCTTTCAGAACTGTTAATTTTGGCTGGTCGCATGTTTTACAGCAGGGGTCCCAAAACCCCAGGCCATGGATCGATACCAGACCATGGCCTGTTAGGAACCGGGCCGCACAGCTGGAGTTGAACAGCAGGTGAGCGAAACTGTGCACATGAAGGATCTAGGTTGCACCCCCCTCCTCCCCCCCCCCCCCCCGCTCCTGGGTTTGTGGAAAAACTGTCTTCCACAAAACCTGTCTCTAGTGCCAAAAAGATTGGGGGCTGCTGTTTCACAAAAACAAACGTTTAGTAGCATCAGACAATAATTTCCATGTGTTAATTCATTACTCCATGCATCCGATGAAGTGAATTTATGAAATGCCTTTTAACAAAATGTATTGCTGCAATTGAAAAAAAATGCTACTAGACCCCAATTTTCACTACCACAGACTAACATGGCCCTTCTACAATGTCTACATAAGGCTGTGTCTCTATATAACATGGTAACAACTGGACATGATACCATCTGCTTAATTTTTTCAAGGAGAAGAATTATTTTATATATCTCACGGCCACTGAAAACACTGCAAGGATGTTCTACAGGCCTCTTAGAAGAAGGTTTAAATATTAAAGGATGGGTTCCCACCCTTTTTCCTCCCTCGTCAAGCACTATTTCAGTCCCTTTACTGCCCACCATAGGTCATTTCCTAAGATTATTGCATCATTTTGCACTTTGTAATTTATAGCACATAACCTGTCACACTTGGCTGGATGGGCAGTAAGGTAGGAGTTCCGATTCTTAAAGCAAAAGAGCCATTAGGACACAGGGATTCAAGTTCAAAGCAGTTGTCAAGCTTGTTTTATAATTTTCAGGATTTCCTAGCTTTATCTATACTTCTGCTAGGAATGAGACATGGCTGGGAAGTAAGGGACTGAGATCCCTTTCCTTGCCTGAAGTTAATTGGCTTGAAAATATATCCATTCCTTTATTCTTCTCTGAAGATTTTGCTTTATGTGTACCAAAATTTATAAGCTTTAATTTGCAGCTCTGGCCAAACTACCTGAGGTGTGGTCATTCATGCTGGTCACACACACATGCAGTCCTGAATCTGCCTATATGCTCATCTATCCAGCTGGCCATGGAGGAAGGCTCTGAGATTCATTGCAGTGAGGAAGAAAAGAAGGGAGAAGAGATGGAGGACAGCTGTATGAAATTACACTGCAGTTTAGGCAAATGTTTTTTAAAACCCGGCCTCAGCTTTACACAGCAGGTATTAAAGAAAGGGGCTGAACTCAGTTTCCCTGGTGCTATTCTTTCTTCCCCACTCCCTTCCTTTGGACTCTGAAGTTTGGAATGACCGAAAGTAACCCAGCAGCCATTTCTCTCTCTCGCTCTCTCTCCCTCCCCCCACCCTCTCTTTTTCAGCATTATCACAACAGCCAAAACAGAACAGAACGCGCAGCTGCCTCCTCCTGTTCCTGCTCTAGGTTACTTTCTCACCATTACCTTCCAAAAGGAGTCTGGTACACACTCTCACACACACACCTTTTCCAGTTCTGCTGGGGAAAAAATACTAAATGTTTCTGCCGCAGCCATTGGAAACATCATCACATCTCCAAAGGTAAAAATGATGTAAGCCACAAAGTTTCCACAGCAAAAAATGTTGCAAGGACGAAGGGAAATCTCCCTGCAATTCAGAACAAGAACACATTGAGTGCTCTCTAGCCAGGTGCAAAGAGACCTTCTCCAAATTGCTGCCCTCTGAATATGCGGATTACACCTTGTTCCAATCCTTGGCCAATGGCCATACTGAAGATACAAAACTGTATGTGGAAGGGCAAGACTGCAGAAGATCAACGGAGAGGGGGACAAAAATAAGTCTTTGCCTTGGCAACATTTGTGAAAAATAATAGGAGTTGGGTTTTCCCCTACATTCTTGAAAACTATCTCACTGACATGAGGAATAATAAATGGGTGGTTTTTGGATGGTATTGTATAGTATATACAGCTTTCTCTTTCATGCGCGTTTGCGCAAACACACACATGAAATGAACAGCTTCCAAATAGGAAACAATCCTATACTTTCTCCAGAAAATTTACCAAAAAAAAAAAAATACTCTTTGGAGAATAACTTTGGGTTATTGGCTATACCCAGTCCTCAAAACAGGATTTGAGGTATGCTCTATGGTAAAGAGATAGCTCTAACCATTAGAGTTCTATTATTAGCTCCCAAAAAAAGAAGGATTTTTTTCCTGGGCAAGTGAACAGTATTGATGGCAGATTGAAAACTTTCAAATCCCATAGCAGGTCGTATCAAAAAGACCTTCCATATAACTCTGCATTGCTACTATCATTACTACAAATCCATCCTTTTAAACATTACAATGTCACAACTGGTTAGTTGCTTCTTAAGACTTAACCCAGCAATTTCTGCGTTTTTATGGTTGGCATGGGCCAGTCTTCCTCAAAAGAAGACACCCAACAGATATCTTCACTTCCCATCATTTGCAGCCCCCAGCAGCCCTAGTGCTGGCAGGAATGATGGGAGATGTAGTCAAACACCTTCATACGGCTTCCATATTCAGCGCTACCAAAAGCACCAATTAATTTCTCTCTGCTCTGCTCATGCACCCTGCCTGCAGCCTGCGTTTCTGTAGCCCTCCAGGGGATATTGAAGAAAGGGGGTGTTGGGGGGTGTTAAAAAATATTTTTAAAAAGGACAGCAGCCCAGCTTTGACATCAAGCAGAACCTCTTCTGAGCTGCTTTTAAGTCCAAAAGGGAACCAAAAGGCCAGGGAGCATTTTGCACACAACAGCACAAAGTGTCAGATCTGAAACCTTGGCAGGTGGCATTGAAAACCGGCCTTCTCACGTCCTGGGTTAACAGAAGAAATGGAAAAGTACCTGCCTGTTTATTTGCTGCCGAAGGGGAGGCGACAGTCACCGCACCGAGCTCCGGCACAGCGACTCCCAGAGTTTTACTCCCGCCTTGACGAAAACGAGTTTTCTCTAGCAAAAAGCTCTGCCTGAAACATATGGTGGGAAATCGTCTTTTTTTTTTTTTTTTTTGCTCATTCTTCGGAACTTGGGCGCTCCGATCGATCGGAGAGTCATCGGCGCGTTCAGAGGGCGGATCGTGTCCTTCAAAGGGGGCTCCTCCGTCATCTCTCCCACCTACCCCCCTCCCCGTTCCCCTCCTTTATGACAAACAACTTCGCGCGCAGAGAACGCCGTCTTGGCCTCCAAGTCCTGGAGCAAAGGCGGATTTTCGCCCGTCCTTCTTCCGTCCACTTATTTAGCATCCCGAAAACCAGAGTCTCCGTCCTCCCCCCCACTCCCCACCAGAGGCCGGCTAACCGATCGGCCCCGCTCCTCTCCAAGGACCCGGGAGATCGGCGAGTAGCCCGTTTCCTTCCCGCGTAACGCGGCTTGCGCACACTGTGCTCACATACACACGCACGCGGGTCGGATTCCTTCACTACAGCCTCCCGCTTCTTTCTTTCTTTCTCGCCTTTTTCTTCTTCTTCTTCTTCTTCCCCCTTGCGGGGTTCCTCTTCTCCCTCGCCACCCGTCGACCCCGTCCTCTCTCTCTCTCTCTCTCTTCAGCCGCGCCCTCCCATTGCGTGAAGAGGCGGGATCGTGTCCTTTCCTCCTTACCTGAACTTTCTGTGTTTCTCGACCCCCGGAATGCGGGCGAGTCTGGAAAGGGGGGGGGTGAGGCAAAGAAACACCCCGCCAAACTTTAAATTACCCCCAAAGCAACGGAGAAAAAAGATCCCGACCGGCAGCCACTCCTCCTGGCATTTAAGGGGAGAGGGGGGGAGATGAGGAAAAAAAAATGCAGCTATTTTTCTTTTTTAAAAAAAACCCAACGCTTCCCCCAAGAAGATTGACAGGATGGCAAACGTCGTTCCTGGCAGTCGCCAACAGGCGAAGGGAGTCCCGACGTGCGGCCAGCAGTCCAGAGGGTGATGTGTCCTTTAGCTCTCCTCGCGTAGTACTATATCCCCATCACATGACTGCCGGGGAGGTTATCACAGTAAAAGCAGGGGAAGGCTTGAAGGAGGCTCGACCCAAACTGGCGGTCTGATTGGCTAAGGAAAAGTCGAGGGGCGGCGCCAGAGATTTTGTCGTCAATGGAAGCCTCTGGCACGCTGGCGCTCTCTTTGCCAGCCCGCTCGGCCAGCGGTGGCTTCTTTCCGTGCTGATTCTCAGCCACGAACGAAAAGATTCCTGCCTCCTCGCAAAGTGGAAATCTCCCAGCCTTCTAGACAGGATTCCCTTTTTTTTTTCCCTTGATGGAAATCACGTGGGCAGCTCTGACAATGGTCGGTCCTTGCCTGGGGTTTTCAAGGATGCCCTTCCTAGAAGAGCACAAATGGTTGTGAGACCCTGGTCATGAAGTTGGGCCAGTGGTGAAATCCAAATCTGTTTACTACCGGTTCTGTGGGCGTGGCTTGGCTTGGTGAGTGTGGCTTGGTGGGTGTCGCAGGGGAAGGATACTGCAAAATCCCCATTCCCACCCCACTCTGGGGCCAGCCAGAGGTGGCATTTGTCGGTTCTCTGAACTACTCAAAATTTCTGCTACCGGTTCTCCAGAACCTGTCAGAACCTGCTGGATTTCACCCCTGAATTGGGCCCTAGGAATTAGTTCAATTTCAAATGTTCAAATCTTTATTGTCAGCGCACAACATATGTATAATGAGATTGGTTGAGCAAAAAGTTGGGATTGTTGCTGTTGTGCCATCCTTTCTTGCTGCATAGCAACCTCCCTATCTTGACTCCGTTTCTGGGCTAGCTGTAGAGTTTCCTAGAACTCTATGGTTCTGCGGGACTTTACTCTGCCTTCCCTAGAACTAGGGTGAAGTGGTTTGGGAGTTCATGGTTTCCATGACAGCTGAGAATCCACACCAGAGCCCATCTCAGGACACTGGTCACTTTCTGATTTTGATGTTCCTTGTCAAGAGCAGTGGCAACATGATTGAAAATCGGGGGAGCTTTCCAACCGTTGTAATGGTTGAATCATGCTTCATTTCTATAGGATTCTTTAGAGCCACTATCCACCACAGGGAGGCTGGATTCATTAGAGTGGTTTTCCCCTGGCAACTACTGGACTTGACGAGGTCTATGGGGAACTGGGAGTTGTCCCATTGGTCTGTTGTGCAGAACTTTGAAACCTTGGTTGCCTCTTGGAATAAGGGGATAGGTGAGGCCTTGGATAGAATTGTGCTTATGCAATCTCCCTCCTCTGGTGAAGCCTGACACTCCCTATGGGGTATGGAGGCACTGGGCGAGATAAAACAGAAGAAGAGGCATCTAAGCATTGCTGGCATTCCACAAAGGGCAAATTTGACCAAACACAAATTAGAGCCACTATTAAGGCCTACTTCTGACCTCATTGCATCCTCTTACAGAGATGTGCAGAGGAATTTGCATACCTTCTGTTGGATAAAGTCACTCAGATTTGTTCCAGAACGGACACTGCACTTGTCAAAGGCCCAGAGGAGATGAGTGGGTTAAGACAGGTGTGTCTTGCCCAGTTATTTGGGAATTATTTGAACCTGTTGAACCTGAAAAAGTGGACAAAATCCTCAGAACTATGGGCTCAGCCACCTACTCTTTAGATTCCTCCTAGCTTATTAAAGTGTGTGTTTGTGTTTTGTGTGAGTGGATTCTGGCAATTCTTTGGGTGGTGGGGTTGTTTCTTTACCTCCTAAGGAGGCCTTGGTTTGCCCCTTCCTCAAGAAGACCTCATTAGATCCTTCCATACTGAGCAATCTCACCTCCCTCTTTCTAGTGGAAGATGGTAGAGAACAATAGCTTCAGAGGGACCTGGCTGAAGTGGATTATTTGGTTCCTTTTCAGTCAGGATTCAGACCCAGATGTGAGATGGAAATGGCATTCGTCATGCTTTTGGATTCCCACGAATGAGATAGGACTGTGCATCCATATTTGCCTTACTTGACCTCATTTGTAGCTTTTTACACTAATAACCATGGTAACCATCTAGATCAGTATAGAGGACTGGGGGTGGGTGGTACAATGTTGTTCTGGCTAGGCTCTTCAGACAGATTCCAGTTGGTGATGATTGGTAGGAGAGTCCCGTCCTCAGTCCTCATTATGTGGGGTGCCTCAGGGTTCACAACAGACATTTTGGGCTCAGTTGTGGTCATAAGTCGAGGACTACAAACTTTATTTAAGTTTGAGAAGACGTATTTCTTCATAAATTTCTGACTGCTCCTCCTCTCCACCGACCCGTACATAGCATGCTATGGTAAACAATGTGGCTGAGATATCACAGAGTTAGGCAACCTAGTGCTTCAGCAGCTTTGGACTACAACTGCCATAATCTTTTATCATTGGCCATGCAGATTACAGTTGATAGAAATTGTCATATAAGACGCTAAGAGCAGTGTTTCCTAAATGCCACATTCCCCTAGAATTGGAAATAATTATTCTATTTTATTCTGCTTCTCTTTGGTTAACAGCCCCCCCCCCCAATAATACTGTATCCAGTTCAAGGGTCCATATTTTTAAAAGATTCAAAGAAAGAGAAACACAGAATGTTGTCCAGAAGACTATTTCGTCATGCAACACTGAAACAATACCCAAAATCTTTTTTTCATTGCCTTTGCCCTCGTGGTGTTGCCTTCATCTGAAGCTCACCACATACCTGAGGCAAATTTAAGATACGTTCAACTGTTCTGGTCTTAAAATAGCATTTTCCTTTCTATCCCACTTTCCTAGCTATTCTGTTGGTGAGGCAGCCTGGTGACTCTAAAATGTAGGTCAGACTAGCTCCTATTTAGGTTAGTGCAGGCATCCCCCTCCCCGCTTGGTTAATTGGGCAAAACCCCCATATGACATATGTCTGAAATAAACTTGCCAGTCTATCTATCTTTTAAAGCCCACATTCTCCTCAGCTCTAACTCCATCCCACATTTTAAAAAGGGTGCTTCATCACTGGAGGCTTTTAAGAAGAGACTGGACAGCCACTTCTCTGGATCTCCTGCTCGAGCAAGGGGTTGGACTACAAGACCTCCAAGGTTCCTTCCAACTCTTTATTTTGAGTAATAGGACTGCTGACAATGGTGATATTTGGCAGGAAGAGAGCAAAACCTGGATAGCTCTGCAGACTAAGCACTGTAATTTAACACCAGCTGTCTGCAATTAAAGTAAGTTTGAATCTTGCCAGGCTCAAGGTTGACTCAGCCTTCCATCCTTTCTAAGGTAGGTAAATTGAGGACCCAGTTTGTGGGGGCAATAAGCTGACTTTGTATAAAATATACAAAAGTATGAAGGCTATTGCTTAATGCACTGTAAGCCGCCCTGAGTCTCCGGAGAAGGGCGACATATAAATCAAATTTAAAAAAAACAAAAACCTTGAAATTCATCAATCTCATGCAGGAAAGGGATTGGCAATAGGGAGAACAAATTTTCTATCCATATGATTTTCTGGTGCTCAGAAAATGGGTGATAGCTCTGAAGAACAATTCTGTGAAGGAGTTGACATGTGGAATCTGAGAAGATTGAGGGAGCAAATGGTAGCACTTCTCAAATATCTGAAAAGTTGTCACACGAGAGGTCAAGACTTACTTTCTTGTCTTCAGAATGCACAACACAGAGTAAAGGATTTAGATACATGAAATTCCAACTGAATGATAGAAAAAACTGTTGAGAGTGGAACCCAGAGAGGTGGTAACTTCTCTGTAGGTGTTCAGCAGAGGTTAGGCTGCCATCTGTTGGGGATGCTTTAATCTCAAAAGCCATCATACATCTACACATAGCTTAAAACTAGACAAGTGTTCAAACTGTCAAAACTTAAAAGAGTCTGGGAAATTGGATTGGGAAATGTGGAGACTGTTCCATCAGTCTCTTCCTGAATCCTAGGGTTGTAAGCTACAAACACAACACTCAGGCTGTCCTCAATAAATGGATATTTGCAGGGTTGGGATGATATGGAAGCCCAGGCATTGCCTTTGAATGTTACCTAAACTTGCCTAATTGTGATAAGATCAAATATAGTTTATTTGCAATATTTGGGGGGGAGGGGAAGGAAAGCAACTTTGTTTTATTATCCTCACTACAGATTTTATCATGATTTTATGAACCCAGTTAGATGTTCATTAATATGAAAACATAGGTGTGCATACTGAAGTAATGTGCATTATGTGGATAAATTTCAACCATAGACAACTGTGCCATTCCAGATTTTCCTATTTTTTTTATAAATCTACTTTTATTATTAGAATAATGAAATGCAAAGGAAAAGCAAAGTCCACATTGAATAATAACAGCTGACTAGCACAAAAACAAACTACTGTACTACTGAGCATGAAGAAAACATGCATAAAAACATTGTGGAAATATTGTTAGCAATATTAAAAGAGCCTCGGTAGTACAGTGGTCTAAAGCACCCTGTTATTAAGACCAGCTGCCTGCAATTACTGCAGGTTCGAATCTCGCCAGGCTCAAGGTTGACTCAGCCTTCCATCCTTTCTAAGGTAGGTAAATTGAGGACCCAGTTGTGGGGGCAATAAGCTGACTTGTATAAATATACAAAAGGATGAAGGCTATTGCTTAGCGCATTGTAAGCTGCCCTGAGTCTCCGGAGAAGGGCGGCATATAAATCAAATTTATAAGTGTACATAAAAGAAAAGATACATTCATCAAGAATCATAAGGTACAACACTTAATGATAGTCATAGGGTACAAATAAGCAATCAGGAAACAATATCAATATAAATCGTAAGATACAAGCAACAAAATTACAGTCATAAGTGGAAGTAGATGGGTGGTGGGAATGATGAGAAGATTAATAGTAGTGCAGACATAGTAAATAGTTTGACAGTGTTGAGGGAATTATTTGTTTAGCAGAGTGATGGCGTTTGGGAAAAAAACTGATCTTGTGTCCAGTTGTTCTGGTGTATGAGGTGCAATGACAATAAAGTAAACTAAACTAAAAAAAAGTATAATTACAGTTATATCCTTCTCTTATGCTT